TTGTTTCATGGTCGGTATCATCAGAAAATTTTGAGCATCTTATGTAAGTACGGTAGAACACGAGCAGTAATGACCAGCTTATTACGGTAGAACACGGTCAATAATGATCATTAACAATCAAGAGCGAAGAACACTGAGGATATAGTAAAAATGGGTCGAAGTAGCAAACATTGTAATAAATGGTTAGAAACCCTCGGATTGTTCAATGTTTACTATTATTATACAAATGAGCTGCTGCTGTGATACATTTACGCGTTCAGTCGAAGTCGCGGCACTATCGGCTAAAAACTTAATTGTCCAGGATTAACCGCTTGCCGACATGGTAACATACAAGTGCTTTTATGGTATCAAAGGAGTAATTAGCTCTCCAGGTTAAGTGGAGCGGAAAGAGGGGCAAGAGGGTGCAATGGATGATCATCAGAGACCGTCTATCGATGACGTTGCGTATCGTCTGGCCATTTTTACTATTTGACGTCGTCATAACTCAACTGGCAGGATCCCTTGGACAACGTAATTCCGCCTTACCACCAAGTTCGATTGAGCCCTTAACAAATAGCCAACTGATATTTCTCAACACCGTTACCAATCTGCAGCAGCCAGGTAACCCTTATTGAAGAGCTTTCTCATGACAACCGGAAATCATAGGTTCAACTAACCTCGCATGCAGCATTCTATCAGAAAAATCACGATATTGGTTCATTCATATTTTTTATGCTTGACATTGAGATTTTTTTTGAAACTTTTTATAGGACAATTCTTACTTTTTCTTATAGGACAATTTTTGAAAAACAATCCTATAATCTTTTTTTATAGAAATTGAATTCAGCTTAAAGGCTTAATTCATTATAAAACGGATTCTAGAGATATCGATCTAGGATATTCGCGGACTATTCGCATACTATATGTGGCACTGTTAGATCGCAAAACGGTATAGCTAAGTCGTTATGAGGGCTCAAGGATTGTATCGACTGCATGTCACACCCATGGGGACGAGTCTCAGTGGCCTTGCATAGGCTGCACCATTCACATGGGACACCAATGTTGAAAATTCAAACAGCTATTCATGAATAGTGTGTGACCGTTCGAACACATTGCCTTTATGTCCTCAGCTCTCTACGCAATTGCATCAACAGAAATGTTGTCCAAATGCCATGATTTCGTACCACCTCTATTCCCTCTACTTTTAAAAAACCTTAATTTTCGCAAAGCCGACAGATTTTCTCGATTCCTTCACCACTGATGCATATTCTCCACCAACACTTCCGCTTGTCAACTTAAAAAGAATACCTCAAAATTGCTATGAACTGTGCTTTCACTATAAATGAACTGGGCACTCCTGATCTTCCCCACTTATTAATAGGTACTCGGGAATCACGGACGTTTCACAAAACGGGAGACTTCTGCGAGCTGCTTGAGCTTGATTGAATTCGGGAAAAAATAATCTATGCATAGGGTCGGATCAAATGAGAAAGAAAAGACAAAAATGAAAGAAATAGGAACAAAAAGGTTCAAACTTCGTTTTCATGTGTCGCCGCTTCACCGGAACTCATCATCGGCCCGAATCAGTCTCCTCGAATCACGCATCAGAATCTTCGTGAACTCGACTGGACGAAAATCGATCGCAGAAGTGAGGAAGGTGAGTTCTTCGTCGACTGTAAACCTATGGTATACGCCATAAGCTTCGATGATGGAAGAAATGATAATACTTGTTGGAAGGTGTTAAGGGAAAACGTGAAAAAAAGACGGCAGATTTTGGAACACAGTCTCGAAATACGAGAAATCCCAGCCCATCACTTTGATGGGGTTAATCTATTGTTTCCCTTTTCAGGGTGGTGGCATCTGTATCCATTCGGTGAGAGGTATTTCGATGATGAACTCTCTCATCGACCATGGATGGATAAACAAATTGATCTTGACTTTTTCCTTCCTTACTATGGGTTCAGATTCAACTACACCTTCGTAAGCTACTCTTTACTCAAGTTAATCGAAGTTAATGAGAATGCAAAGATCCCTGCTCATTCCAGATATTCCAAGAAGGATTTGTTGCTTTCTCGAATCCATGGTATATCCAGCCACCATATTCGTTTCCGAACCCTCATTGGCCCAACAAACCTGACCCCAGTCTTATTGCTGTGGGTTCTCTGACGTCTCGGGTAAGACTATTTGCCTTAACTGGTTTTCTGTTTGTAGGTTTTCATGGCTGAACAGCAGATGCAACATGTTGGAGACACCCGAATCAGTAATGTATGGTTCCGAGTAATTGAAAGGTTAGAAGAATTTCTGTTGCCTTCAGGGAGTGGAATCCTGATTGGAATGTATTGCAGACCAACAAACCTCATTGGGTACAACAACCTTCAACTGGATCCTGATGAGACCAGCAGGGAGCCAAGTCTTCAACAACCTCTCGGTGTTTACAGCTACGATGATCCACGGTTTGTCTTTGCTATCCTTATATATACATTGAATCGACAGTATGAGTTGGTAGGCGCTGATCAACAATGAGCTTCCCTAGTTTTTATTTCTCGAAGTGTCTAAGACAACAAGTAGTATTTGGTTGGGGGTGTGGTGCGTTAGGAACGAAATGGTCGCGTCGCAGTGAGAGGGGCGTCGTGCGCGAAGGAATGTAGCAGGATGCAGCAGTAGGTAAGAAATACAAGAACAAAAGTACTAATAGTATAATTATGCATAAAATAATGATCGCATATCGATTGAGCCGTGTGAAGGACGCTAGAGCTGTAATAACGGCGAATGAGTGGTCCGCGACAGCCGCG